CCTTTTTTTTTTTTTTTCCTTTTTTTTTTTTTTTTTTCTCCTGCCACTCATGTCTGTTTGCATTTGACTAGGTCTGCCGCCACGAGCTTCTGTGTATCAAGGGCTGTCCTACAAAAACGGCGTGGGCCGGCAACGAGCCGCGTTTTTTGCCGAGAAGCAGCTCTCCATATTGACCCGCGTGAGCAAGACCTACTGGCTGTCCCTGAACGAACAGCACACCTTTCGATACATGGACCAGGAAATCAGCACGCTGATATTCATGTATTTGCTGCTGTGCAAGCCTCTGGAGCACATGCTGAGCAGCTGGCTGCAAAAGCGGGGCGGGCTGGACACCCTCGACGACGAGAATGGCATTCACAATGCCGAGCAGGACGACGAAGATTTCCTCGACGACGAGCTGGATGAAGACCACATGAGCCACGACGAGACGATGACTTTGCGACGTGAGGTCCGGGACGCTCGAAACCACTACAACAACAGCCACCTGCTCTTCAACATCGCGCCCCTGCAGGCGATGGTCAGCCCAGCCACAATTTATGCGGCATTTCGTCGGCAGATGACCACGTACCTGCATCGGCCAAAGCTGGGGGTGGCCACATGGCGACACGCCGCAACCTTCTGGATGACGACGTTTGTCATTAACCGACTGTCGGCCGAGACGACCGGCGCCCTGGGCAGCCTGATCCACACTCAAGCTCAACACTCTGGGGACACGGCCCAGCGGGCCTATGCACGCACAGCCAGTGACCATGTGCAAACCAAAATGTCGTCGCGACTGATGCATCAAGTGGCCTCGCAAAAATGGCATGCTTTGTTTGGACTAGATCGCAAGCGCAGCATAGCCGAGTTGACCGCGAACCAAGAAGCATTGGAAGCTCGCTATCCCATCAGCTGGAACCCGGTGACTGACCTCTCGCCCGAGGCAAACAGGCGTATCATCATGAACACGAGGGCCGAGCATGACGTACCCTACATGACCCAGCTGGCCAAGCAGGCGAGCATCTCGTGGGGCCACAGTTTCAACAGCCAAGAACAGTTGGACCTGGCTGCGGCCATTGACCAGCACCGGCCGGAAGATGGATGGCTAATTGTTGTTGCACCGACAGGCATGGGTAAAACATTTTGTACCCTGCCCAAGCTGGGCTGTCGCCCGCATGCCGGTACGGTGCTGTGGATTGTGCCGTTTGTGGCCGTGGCCAA